ATATAATAATAACTTTTTGAAAAATCAGTAGATTGATATAATTATAATTAAGTTTTATAACTAATAGGTGTCTGATCCTCGAGCTATTTAACCCGTCAAAGTCAAAACTAACAAAGATTTAGGGATGTGTTCGGTATATATAGGTAAATTTTCTCATATTCGGTTAGTTAACGTTTTCCAAAGATACTTGTTCTAGAAAAATAGAGAAAACAAGTTTTATAAGTGACATTTTATATTAGTTGTGTCTTCCCCAGTCCCCACTGCTCAACATACCTTATCTTCACCCTCACTCCATAGCCAGTGGGCAGAACAACCTTATAGTTAGGGAGTTCATCTGAACCACGTTCTGCGGAAAATTATATTATTTGTACATGATTAGAATAACTTTTAAGGTAGATATAGTAGATGTCGAACCCCCTTCGACTAATTGATGTGTCTATTTCTTCAAATTTTGAACCCTCTTATATAAAATCCTGGCTCCACCACTTATAGTCCCCATCCCCACCACCCCACACCCCCACTTCATATACTATTTATCTAGATTATATATAATAATTTTAAAATAACATTTTTTTGCATAGATACCGAATCAAAGGCGGAGCCAGCTTAGGGTTGGAGGTTCATCTTAACAGCTTTCAACAAAAAATTATATTATTTATACATATCGAACCCTTTTCGACTAATTCGTGCCATTGTTTCTGTTATGAGAAAATGTGACAACCACTTTGTTTAATGAATTATTTTTCAATGTGCACGTCACTATCTTTTTCTCCAGAAATTTCTCCTCTATTTTCTCAACCCCTACCCCTTTTTTGAAAAATAAATGGTACTATAATAGTAGGTCACAAAAGTAAAACTATTCCTTCCCATTTTAATTTCAACTCGGCCTAAAATTAAAAAAAATAATGAAGATTTTTATATATAGTATGATGTCAAACTAAAAAATATATGTAATATATCAAAATGACATTTAGATTTGTTATCTTAAATATGTGAGGAGTATTTAAATACAAGGATCATTCATAATATTATGTTATAAATAAATCTCTACAAATCGAATGATCTTTAGTAATTAGTACGAGTATTTCATTCGAACCATTTTATTTATTGTCCTTATTAAAGATAATTGGTTCAAACTATTCTCTCCCTCCACTTTAGTTGTTCGGTTGAAAAATTAAAAGATAATTTATCACTCGATCAATTCCTAATTTAAGTATAGTCATTTCCCAATGCATATCAACGTTGAATTTATAATATTCAAAGAATAATATGATAAAATTTCTATTTATTGCTCCTTAAGAGGTTTATCAAGTCCATAGAAAAAAAGAATGCAAGGATTACAAGGGTATAGTGGAAATCAATTATTAAAATGATAATTATTCTGAAATAATTTTTTTAATAAAGCAACACTTATCATGAGATAAAACGAGCAATAATTAATATGGAGATTGTAAAAATTTAAAAGAATGTTTGTCCTTATCAGACTATTATTACAATGCACACGAGATGCTGCATATAAATTAACGACTCCTATGTTTTCACATACAATTTTGTCGAGTAATTTCCCTAGATAGTCACCCATGTTTGGGAAATTACCTACTAATATCACTTATGTTTGTTTTAGGACTACAATATCACCCAACTTTACATATTTTCCTCAAAATATACTTGACACAAAAAAAACATCAACTCTCCTAATGGGATGCCATGTCACATTATTCTTTTTTTATTATTAATAATTTTTTAAAATTTATTTAGACAACCCATAGATGATACTAAGTAAAAAAAAAAATTACATAGCGCCAAAATTTTCTACCCTAGTTCTGGGGGATTTGGAGGCAAATCCAAATATGAATAATTGTCTATTAGTGTCGTGAATTAATAATTTAGAATTTTCAGTAGACATATATAAAAACTTCAGTTAAAAAATAATTCATCTGACTTTCGAGATTTAAATTTCTTTACCGAAATTAAAAGAGAAAATAAATAAATAAATAAATAAATAAATATAAATATATATATATATATATCATTGAAAATTAAAAGGAAAAGGTCTATACAGGGGAGGAGAAAATCATTGTAGCTCTACGTGGGAGCATGGACGGAGCTAAGACTTTGATTACGAATTCGATCAAACTTAATAATTTTGATTCAAATTTCAATTTTATAATTAAAATTCATTAAATATATATAAATTATTAAATTTTTAAGTTTAATATTTTGAAAAATAAAATAAAATTATGATTCGGATATGTGATTGAGAATAAAGTGTGTCTATGTGTGTTTTATGTTTTTGTGGCATAAAGTATATTTTAATTAATCTGATCTGGACGTAAACATGGATAATTGTAACAGATATTAGTAAAAAAAATTCCATATAGGTGAAGACAAAAATAAAATATATATAATTTGTATTAGGTAGTTTGTTTTTATACACGTACCATTTATAGTCGGATACTTATAAAGTCTCAATTAGGTTAATACAAAAATAATTAATTATCTTAATCCAAATAATTTTAGCAATATATTTTTAAAAAAAATGGATTTGCCTCTGAATCCCCTAGAACTAGGGTTCACAATTTTGGCGCTATGTATTTTTTTTTTACTGGGTATAATATATGGGTTGTCTAAATAAAATTTAAAAAATTGTTAATAATAAAAAAGGAATAATGTGACATGGCATCCCATTAGGAGAGAGATGATGTTTTTTTGTGTCAAGTATATTTTGAGGAAAATATGTAAAGTTGGATGATATTGTAGTCCTAAAACAAACATAAGTGATATTACTAGGTAATTTCCCAAACATGGGTGACTATCTAGGGAAATTACTCAATTTTGTCAAAGATGATGTCTCCCAAAACTAAAATAATCATTTTTTAAAGAAAAAAACAAAAGTGATTAGTACTTTCTCTTTGACCATTCACTTCTAATATAACTAATTTAGTTCCTTCTCAATCAATAATTTGTTCTAATTAAGTAATACGTCACCACTTTGTGATATTGTAACATGAATATATTTCCATTAATTAGTAAGTATATATATATATGTTAGGTTTAGTCAAATATCATATGAGACTGAACTAAACTTATTATATGGACTACCTAGATATTCACTAACTTCGGACTAATAATTAAGTGACACGCTTCCCAAGAAAGACAATTGTATATAATTAAAAAAAAAATTAGAGAAAAGAACACTTGTACCCAAAAAAGAAAAACTATTTACAAGCGACTATCCATTACTTTCATACTCCACGTTTTTAATTATTAATGCGTGTTTTCTGCTTGATAGCATCAAAATATATAAACTCTAATGGTATCAAAGAAGAAGAAATAGTGCTTCAGTGAAAACACTTAGTTACTATGTGATATCATCGTTTGTTGTGAGGGATAAAAATATATAGTCCTGGGAGAAAAAAAATAGTCTTAGGATAAAAGTTTGGTGTCTAGTTTGGTTGACATGTTTGGGATAACTAAGTTATCCCATATATAGAGTGGGATAACTAACCCCAGGATAATTAATCCTGGGATAACTAGTTCCCAACCAACAGAGTATATATATATTTTGATGACATCAAGGAGGAACCTGCAGTGTCTGTGAAAAGACTGCTCAATTATATTATTGTTTGATACCATCAGAGTATGTAGAGACTCCGATGATATCAAGAATAAAAAAGCAATGGTTCAGCGTATAGAACAAGGGGGCAGTCAGGTAAATAATTTGGGTTGGATTCAATTTGGCTAAATACTTTGCCTAATGGGTCTAATCCTGTAGTTTTCCCAAAAAATTATAACCGTAATGTTTGGAGTTTTGAACCTGGGACTTTAGAGTTCTCAACCACTTCTTTAACTACTAGGCCACACTCTAGACTATGAAAAGTGGTTATTTATAATATGAAGTACTATACTAGCCTCTTAGTTCAAATACAATCACATAAATGAAAAGGAGGTCATCGTAATTCACACCCATACACAAATATAAATTAATCGTGATTTATTAATTAATACTTACTTCCACCTTCAATTTTTAACTTAATCGAAGCATAGTATATTAATAATGTGATTTAACGTATGTTGGACTCGAAGCATAATTAGAGTTAGAGCTGTCAATATGGGCTGGCCCACCCCATCCGGGCTTGCCCATACAGGCTTTGAAATTTGACGGGTCAGGCCGGGCTAGCCCATTTTTGGTGTGGGCCAGAAAATGATCGGCTCAGCCCACAAGTACGTGGGCTATGGGCTTGCCGGGCCAACCCTCTTTACGTAAAAATATATTTTTTAAATTAAATTATAATTTAAAAATATTATCATAAATATCGACAAGATAATATTACATGGTGTTAGTGTTACTACTTGTTAATCAAATCCACAAATAAAATTATCATTATGATATTTATTAAGTTTGATTTCAAGTAAAAACATAGATAGCTAAATAAAAATATAAACCAAATTGTTTTCTAATGTCATAATAAAACGCAAAAAATTATGACAATATTCCATAGGCTACGGCCTATGTAGTGATTCCTAGAAATTTTAGGTAATTTTTATTTTACATAATATGTATTTTATAAACATAATTTGTATTTAAATTGTAATATTTCAAACTTTAAACTGATTTTGAGTTTAGACTCTTGTTATTTTTAATACTCTATTTTATTTTTTATTTTTCAATTAATTTTATTTGGCCCACGGGCCGGCCCTATCCATATTTCTCAAGCCCCACAAATCGGCAGGCTTATTCAGGCCGGGCTAAAAAGCCTTTTTCTTAAATGAGCTCCAAAAATTGTAGCCCAGCCCTATCAAATCCCGGGTTAGGCCAGGCCAGCCCAACGGGCCTAGCCTATATTGACGGCTCTAATTAGAGTACATTCAGATGGATTTGCCCTATTATACGCAGACTCGAGAGACCTTAAGCATAATATACGCTATCATCAGACTCTATGTTAATAAAATCACTCTCATTTTCAACGCATATATTTACAGAATGCAGAGATAAAAAGTAACAGTCAAACAAACATATTTTGATTTCCATAACAGCACAATTCAGTTTAGAAGACCACAAGAAGTAATATTCATTGCTAGGAGTGCAACAGAAATCCATCAAATAACAAACAACCAAGACAAACACATCACACACCACAATGTATTCAATCAGTACTCGTCTCCTTCATCGCCGCCATCTTCATCTTCCAATTCAGCACCAACCTCCTCGTAATCCTTTTCAAGAGCAGCAAGGTCCTCACGGGCTTCACTGAACTCACCTTCCTCCATACCCTCACCAACGTACCAGTGCACAAAAGCACGCTTGGCATACATCAGATCAAACTTGTGATCAATGCGAGAGAAGACCTCTGCAACACTAGTTGAGTTAGAGATCATGCACACAGCTCTTTGCACCTTGGCAAGGTCGCCTCCAGGAACCACAGAAGGTGGTTGGTAGTTGATACCACACTTGAAACCAGTAGGACACCAGTCGACAAATTGGATAGTGCGCTTGGTCTTGATGGTGGCCACAGCAGCGTTGACATCCTTTGGCACAACATCACCACGAAACATGAGGCAGCAGGCCATGTACTTGCCATGGCGAGGGTCACACTTAACCATCATAGAAGAGGGTTCAAATGCGCTGTTTGTGATCTCTGCAACTGAGAGCTGCTCGTGGTAAGCCTTCTCAGCTGAAATGACTGGAGCATAGGAAGAAAGCATAAAATGGATTCTGGGATAGGGTACAAGATTTGTCTGGAACTCATTCACGTCAACATTCAGGGCTCCATCGAACCTCAAAGATGTAGTCAGAGAAGAAATCACCTGCGTAAGAAGCACAGAAATTACTATCTGCGGTTCAAGAAGTATTGTAGTATGTAAGACACAGTTCAGAATGATATGCTACTAAATTACCTGTGAAATAAGGCGGTTAAGGTTGGTGTATGTGGGGCGCTCAATGTCCAGTGAGCGCTTGCAAATGTCATAAATGGCCTCATTGTCAAGAAGAATTGCAACATCAGTGTGCTCAAGCAGGGAGTGAGTTGAAAGCACACTGTTGTAAGGCTCCACAACAGATGTTGAGACGTGTGGTGAGGGATAAATTGTGAATCCAAGTTTTGATTTCTTGCCATAGTCAACTGAGAGACGCTCCAGTAAAAGTGATCCAAGACCAGAACCAGTGCCACCACCAACAGCATTAAAAACCAGGAAACCTTGAAGGCCAGTACAGTTATCTGAAAGCTTCCTAATGCGGTCCAAACAAAGATCAACTATTTCTTTCCCAACTGCACAAAAGATACAAAGATGACCATCAGCACACAATTGAGCTGAAAGAGTAACAAATGCAGAGTAATATATATACTTGTATAATGGCCACGGGCAAAGTTGTTGGCTGCATCTTCTTTGCCACTAATGAGTTGCTCGGGGTGAAAGAGCTGTCTGTATGTTCCTGTCCTGACTTCATCAATGACAGTAGGCTCAAGATCTACAAAAACAGCACGAGGAACATGCTTTCCAGCCCCAGTTTCACTGAAGAAGGTGTTAAATGCATCATCACCTCCTCCAACAGTCTTGTCAGTCAGCATCTGGCCATCAGGCTATGGGAGAGATGAAAAGTAAAATATTCAGCAATGCAGGATAATAACTGGTTCTTGAAAAACGAAAAGAAAAAGGATTGTACACAAACACCAAAGCAATAATGGAGAACAGAATTCCAGTCAACAGATTGCCTTCAGGATCAGGCTTTAGAAGAAATGAAAGACAAAATTCCCCAAATGCTTGTAGTGCAATGGTTAACATTCCAGCACAAGAACATGTGTTCAACATCATAACATAACATACACAACATACATCATATTTGGAAATGAAGTGCAATAAAGGGCTTTCAAATTTTGAAGGGTACACATTCCCCTAGAACCAATTATCTTTTTTTACCTCCTACAACCTTATTATTGAGGATCTTTTAACAATATGAAAGAGGTTGATATAAAATTAGAAGAAAGATCATAAGGTGAAGGAATGAGCTATTAGTTGAAGGAGTTGTGCCAAAAACTGTTAGGGTAGCATGGATTTTATACATTCAGTTCACTATTCAACTTGAATGGTGGTGAGAATTCGTGGATTATATGGTAGAACGCATACAAAACAATATGAGGACTAATGATAAGGGATAGCCAATGACTGTCAATGATGAGCCAATCATTGAGAGAGTTGATAAATTATATTATAGAATAGAACACATAGGTTATGTAACGTATATGTAATTCCCAAGATATCATCCCCTCCCAATGATTGACTCATCATTACCTTATCATTAGTCCACATTATTTTGCATGCACGCACACACAACTTCATGATCAAGTGGATCTAAAAGAAAAAATATAACTTCAATTCTGATCTATTCAGTAAATTCAGATCTCTGCCAGTAGATCTTATATGACAATGTGCATCTATCATTTATTTAATGGTTACCCAAACAAAAAGAAAAAGGGAAACTACACAAACACCCATCAAAGGCATTGGCCATAAAAAAAACTTGCTAGTATTAGTATTAATTAAACTTTGTTGATTCCCAGAGAAACTAGTTAATCTTTGGAAACATTTAGGACAGTACACAACTCGAGTATTATCTATGAATATTCAAAATATTATAGCCATATTTATCTAATTTTAATACAATTACTTTGCTAAATAACTAAAAATGTTATTATTGTGATCATTCCATTGTTGCCTAACAGTTGAAACTTGAAAAAATACAATGAGTTTCTAATGTTGTGTTTGGACATGTATTTTAATTGAAAATATTTGAAGATCAATTTTCAAAACCTGCTCAAATTTCATAGCCAAACAATTTTTTGAAGAGAAGTCTTCAAAATCTAATAAAAAATCATTAACCAATCGCTAAATTAGACAAACTTCTAGATTCAAATAGATCTATAAGATAACAACACACTTTCTATTCAGAATCAACTAGATCTACACAAAAACAAACACATTCAAACTAACAAATTCAAACAGATCTATAACATACACAACGACGTCAAGCTTCTTAACAGCAATGTGCTTATCTGAAGAAGAAGAAAAAAATGAAAAATCATGTACCTGAATGCCATGTTCAAGGCAATAAAGCTCCCAGCATGCATTTCCGACCTGAATTCCGGCCTGTCCGATGTGGATTGAGATGCATTCTCTCATTTTCGCAGTTTTTTCCGATGAAATCCAAATTCAGATCTGGAAGAAAGAATGAAAAGTGGAAACGGCGTTTATGAAGACGCCTTCCTGAAAATTTCAGATCTAGGTATCTGCATAAACTGAGAGCAGTTTCTCTCAGTTTATATATGACTAGCAGAATTGGGTCTCGAAAAAATCTAGGGGCCGGAGAAATAAGAAAAAAAAACTGAAGTAAGATAAACCATGGTTAGTTAACCGTGGTTTATCATTTGAAATAGAAAAAAATTGAACAAGTAGTACGTGTGTTCTACGTGTATATCAGTTAAATAACACGTTTATATATTAAATGTAGAAAAAAATGAAGGGTTATAATTAACGCCAGCTAAGACATTATTATTGAACCATATTCAATGTCTCGTAATGATAATTTGCCATTTGTTACGTTTTAGTAGGCGTTTGGTCATGAATTTTTTTTGAAATTAGAGTTGTAATTATGTTTGGTCATACTTTTTGTTTAAGAAAATATTCAAAATTTGAATGTACTAGTCTCACATTTTTGTGCGCAATTACTTGCAAGACATCTTTTAACGATATGTTATTAATAACTTTAAATTATCAGTAAATAAAGTTAAACAATGAAAAAACTAGAAGTCTACAACACAATAAGTCCATTAAATAACAAGACGGATGAAATAAAAACAAGTCAATTAAGCCACAAGAAGATTGAAACACATGAAATTTCATAAGAGGAAAAACGATCACAAAACATAGTAGAATATGCTCGATTCACGAAGTTCTATCATTGCAGAGCTCAATAGTCATTCTCACATTACTCAAGTTGTCCAAAGGACATGAACCTCCAATCCCATCACTACTTTGGCGCATAACTAAACTCCACAATATCAACATCTCTTTCCAACTTAATCATATCATCTTCATTCAAGCAAACTCTAGCTTCAATTCCATTTTTTGAGTCCATCAAGAAGAACATTTGGAATGGCACATTTACTCTGCTCACCCAAATTGGTTTAGCCCATCCAAAATCAGACTCATTTAGTGGAAATTTACACAAACTTGAAGTTGGATAAAGGTCAATTTCATCATCATTATACCCTTCTCTTATTTGATTCAATGACTCAATTAATATTGAGAAAATCTCTTCACTTGAAGCATTTGCAATTTCTGATACAACTTTGTTCTTTGCATTCCTAATTAAGGTTACAATTTCATGTAATTCTGGATCTTGATTGCTATGAGATGACACATATTTGATTGGAATGTCAAGGTAGAAGTTTCCAAAAAAGTTTTGATCTTCCCCTGCACTCAAAAAGGGAGTAGCAATTTAGGTAGATAAAGCGAACAACGACATTAAGACATGAAATTTGTGTTGAATACAAAAATAAACAAAGTTATGTGATGGTTGACTAGAGATGAGTTCATTAAGAGTAAAATAAATAATTTAAAATTAAGTTTTTTTTTTTATGACAAACTAAAAAGAAAAGTGTGTCATGTAAATTGAAACAGAAGGAATAATTATATGTTTTGCATACCTACTACTTTTGGAGATCCTCTTCCTCTTAAATTTATGGCAAATTGTAGCATGGATGGCCTATTGTGACCCTGCCTCAACCTCACAACACGCATTAGGCTTCTCCAAATAAGTGCAGTCACAACTTCAACTCTTGATGAATAACTCATAAACTTGTTCACATTTTCCTTCAACTTAGATATTGCAATTTCATCAAACATGAAAATTCTGGTAGCAATTTTCATTTCATATCCTCTAGGCCTACCTTTTTTAATCATCTCGAAAATATTATCCCTAGGTGGAAATACTTCCTCTAAATCCGAACGAAATTGTAAATTTCTCACATTCCCTTTCTCCATTCGACTAATCTTAGCCCACTCATCGGTGATAGCACAGCCAGAGAATCCATCACATGATGTGTGGACTATTTGCACGGCTAGCGCTAGGCCACCATGTTCGAACATGGTGGCCTGAATTGCCATCATTGGTCTATTTGGCAATTCAGCTAGCCTAATTCTTATAGGTGGTACAAAGATTTTGACAAGGTCACTATCTTTGTATGCTTTGTCTAGAAATTCATTCAATTGGCAATTCACCTTTGCTTCCAAGTAAATAACCCCTTGGTCATGACATTCAATGGAAGTACCTATAGACATTCACCACAACAAAAACAACTTTTAGCGGCAATAAATATTCACATTAATAAAGAGTGCTAAAGTCTTTACCGACATTAGTTAAGTGTCATTAGATCCAATGTCACTAAAGGCTTTAAGACATACAAAGAGTGCTAATTGCTGCTAAAAATACATATTTAGCTGCAATTAAGCTATTGTTGTTAATTAATTGCTGCTAAAAATCATTTTTCATGTAGTGATTGAAAATTTAATGTTACATTACCATCTTCAGACAACCTTCCAGCAAGTGGATAGAACTTGGTTAGAACTTCAGACAGTGAGTTTTGTAGTTGTTTATGAACTTCTTCGACGCGTTGTAGGTGGGAGTTTTCTGGTGGAACTGGAGGGTAGAAGTAAAGAAGGGGCACAGCAAAATTAGGAGCAATTTGATCAAAAAATGATAACTTGTAGGAATTGAGATGATTTGGAGTTGGTAACGATGGTTTTATAAGTTTTTCATTCAAGATTTCAATTTGAATACAAGTACCATTCAAATTTTGTGTTGTAATTTGGCTCATAGTGTATAATCTAGTGTTTGATTTGGTTAAATTTTTAGCTTGAAACATTTGGAATTTATCAAAAATTTGTACTTCTTGATATTATGTTAGTTTACTGGAAAGTCAAACTTCCAACTGCCAGGGAAGTATAAAACATTTTTGTTAGCCAACACTTCCAACCCCCAGGGAAGTATGAACTCTCATGTGATTTTGTCACTCCAATTTTCAAAAAAAGAATGACCGAGTTTGCAATACAAGTACAAAATTATCTAAAATTGTTCGATCTTTACTCGTTACTTTGATCTGACACAAATATAAAAATATTTCTTAAGTTGACCTACAACATGTATAAGTGTAACTCTACTCGTACTCCAAGGAATTAACAAGCTATAAATCAACCACCAGTCAACTCTCAAGAGAAACTACCACAAATAGATTGCCCAGTAACAAACCTCATACAGGGTTCATAAAAATTTACTAAATATGTAAATCTTATTTTTCAAAAGAAAATATGAAATCGATAATAAAATTTATTTGGAAAATAAGATTCCTTGACCCTACGACCTTACTAGGTACATAATATACTATAAGCTCTTAAGTACCGTCAGACTTTTATGCAACAGTCATTCTCCACAACAATATATCATTGTAATGACTGTCTTTTCTGGAACGGACTCTATAGCAGCATTTCGCTATAGCAACTAAACTAGTTCTTCAATCTCAAAAATTGGGACCTGCAGCCATTATCTCCTCAGTCAGATTGCTATCAGTTCCAATCTTGTGGTTTGTGAACACTTCAAAGTTCTTCCTAAACAATCCTCCTAGCTTCAATAGAGTTTCCTTATAGGCATCCTTGTTTGGCCACTGGAACAAAAATATTTCAAGAATTTAGCAATTAGTTAAAGAGTTAACTAACTTCAATTTACTAAACAAGCGTATGACATGTGACGTGCTATAACATGTTAAAATGTACGTACGAATAGATATATTTACACTGTCAGCGTATATAAGCAGAGTTACATGTTAACTTACAGTGTTCACTGGATCAAGAATCTCTGAAGGAACTCCCTTAATTTCATTTGGGATTTCCAGCCCGAACACTTGAGTTTTTGTGTAATTTGCATTCAAAAGTTCTCCTGAGTGGATCGCATCAATGATTTTCCTAGTGTGTGCTAACTTAATACGGCTACCTGATCCATAGCTGTTTGTAATCAAGAAAGTTAATTAGCTAAATATTTATAATTTTTTACACAACTATGAATTTTAATATATGTTGTGTTTAGTACTTATAAATTGTACCTTCCACCTGACCATCCGGTGTTGACGAGCCATCCAGTAGCTCCTTGTTTCTGCATTTTCTCAGCTAACATTGCTGCATATTTTGTTGGATGAAACATTATAAATGCTGCACCAAAACATGCTGAAAATGTTGCTGTTGGCTCTTTAATACCATCCTCTGTTCCTGCCACCTGTTTGAATTATCGAAGCATTAATCTTAACTTCTTACTTCATCTGACCCCAAATATTAGTCGTTTTATGAACCAAAAAGCATTTATCAATCTTTTTTTTCAAGTTCATCCTTACTACTCCTGTTATTGAAGTGTTAATTAGGTGTGATAATGTTTAAGGGAAAAAGGAAGCTATAAAGCAACAATAAAGGTCTTGCATCAGAGTAGACTGTCTACATCACACCCTTGGGGGTCGGACCTTCCCTGGACCCTGTGTGAATGTGGGATGCTTCGTACACTGGGATACCATTTGTTTAAGAGAGAAGTAACGGACCATACCCTATATGTAATTTTTGAAGCACTAGATTTCGAAAGATGTGTACCAAAGCTGTGTAGCCACTAATAAAGTGGTACATTGTCTGTGCCAAGTTCAATTTGCTGACTGGAGGAAGCACACCGAAAGCATCACAAGCAAGAAGGATGACATTTTTCGGATGAGGACCAACACATGGTATTTTAGCATTTGGGATGTATTCAATTGGATATGCTGCCCTGGTATTCTCTGAAGCCAAACCAAATCAATGACATTAGTATACACCAACATTTTCTATAATTTTTCATAGGATTGAATGTATTTGTAGCTATATATTTACCTGTTACAGACTTATCCGTGTAGTCCACCTCTCGAATGTGTTCTTCAAAAACCACATTTTCCAACACTGCACGAAAACATTGAAACATCTTACAACAACAACAACAACTACGCTTCAGTCCCAAACCACTGGCTGACACTTGCAATCTACCAAGTGGGAATCAGAAAAATACCAGTGCCAAACTTGATGGCGTTCCAAATATCAGGCTCTTTCTCCCTTGACAGATCAATGCATTTAGCATAACAACCACCCTCAATGTTCGAAACACCGTGATCACTCCAACAATGTTCATCATCTCCAATTAGGTACCTATTATGATCTGTAGACAATGTAGTCTTCCCGGTTCCTAAATAAAC